ATGGCTCTTTCCTCACTTGTAAATGGTGAGATTAGTGTCTATTTGGCAGGATTATCATGAGCTCATCATTTGAGTACTGTGTATAACAAACACAAAAAAGATGGTAGCTGGTATTATTATTAATGTGTATATTTACCATTAAAATTAGATAAATGTAAAATTGGTTAAAATTAACAAGAATATTCTACTTTCATTGTATATATATATGTATATTGCATATACATATTTACATTTGTTGTTACGTATGTTATATTATGTATATATACATAAATCTTATCCATAATAACATCAGTAAATAGATACAGTTAGAGGACACTGTGGCTCAAGAAACCTGTCACCATTTGACCCGTGGCCAGTTTGCTTTGTGTAAACCTGTGTTTGTGGAATAATTATTATTCACTTCACTCTCAAAAGCAACCCAGTTTGGACAATAAGTTACATGATTGCCCTAAATAAGGATCAAAAAGAATACTGATCTCAGAGAAATCCAAGAACAGTTACGGTCTCAGTGTGATGAAGGACGCATCCACTAGACAACTATGGCTTCATAAATTTGTACTGGGGTCCCATTTGTTCATTTTTTCTTTTGTTTCCCTTGCCCAGTCAGACATGGGACTTGAAAATATGCTGCTCAGACCAATGTCATAGAGCGTACTGCCTATGTTTTCTTCTAGAAGTCTCATGGTTTCGGGTCTTACATTCAAGTCTTTAATCCATTTTGAGTTGATTTTTCTGCATGGTGTAAGGGAATGGTCTACTTTCATTCTTTTACATGTGGCTGTCCCGTTTTCCCAACACCATTTATTGAAGAGACTCTCCTTTCTCCATTGTATGCTCTTGGCTCCCTTGTCGAATATTAGCTGTCCGTAAACGTGTGGCTTTACTTCTGGGCCCTCAATTTCGTTCCATTGATCTGTGTGTCTGTTTTTGTGCCAGTACCATGCTGTTTTGGTTACTATGGCTTTGTAGCATAATTTGAAATCAGGGAGTGTGATACCTCCAGCTTTGTTCCTTTTTCTCAGGAATCCTTTGGCTATTCGGGGTCTTTTGTTGTTCCATATAAATTTTAGGATTCTTTGTTCTATTTCTGTAAAAAATGTTGTTGGAACTTTGATAGGGATTGCATTGAATCTATAGATTGCTTTAGGAAGTATGGACATTTTAGCAATGTTAATTCTTCCAATCCAAGAGCACAGAATATCTTTCCATTTCTTTGTGTCTTCTTCGATTTCTTTCAACAATGTTTTATAGTTTTTGGTGTACAGATCTTTCACCTCTTGCGTTAAGTTTATTCCTAGGTATTTGATTCTTCTTGTTGCGATTGTAAATGGGATTGTATTCTTAATGTCTCTTTCTGCTGCTTCGTTGTTAGTGTATAGAAACGCAATGGATTTTTGTACATTGATTTTGTATCCCGTAACTTCACTATATTCCTTTATTATTTCTAAAAGTTTTTTAGTGGACTCTTTAGGGTTTTCTAGATATAAAATCATGTTGTCTGCAAAGAATGACAGTTTCACTTCTTCTTTTCCAATGTGGATCCCTTTTATTTCTTTTTCTTGCCTGATTGCTCTGGCTAGGACTTCCAATACTATGTTAAATAAGAGTGGTGACAGTGGGCATCCTTGTCTGGTTCCTGTTCTTAGAGGGATAGCTTTCAGTTTTTCTCCATTGAGAATGATATTTGCTGTGGGTTTGTCATATATGGCCTTTATTATGTTGAGGTATTTTCCTTCTATACCCAATTTATTTAGAGTTTTTATCATAAATGGATGCTGTATCTACATCAACCTAAAAAGTTTCTGCACAGCAAAGGAAACCATCAACAAAGCGAAAAGACCACCTAACAATTGGGAGAAGATATTTGCAAACCGCATATCAGATAAGGGGTTAATATCCAAAATATACAAAGAACTCATACAGCTCAACAACAAAAAAAACCAACAATCCAATTAGAAAATGGGCAAAAGATCTGAACAGAGATTTCTCCAAAGAAGAAATACAGATGGCCAACAGGCATATGAATAGATGCTCAACATCATTAGCTATCAGGGAAATGCAAATCAAAACTACAATGAGGTATCACCTCACTCCCATCAGAATGGCTATAATTAACAAGACAGGAAACAACAAATGTTGGAGAGGGTGTGGAGAGAAGGGAACCCTTGTTCACTGCTGGTGGCAGTACAAACTGGTGCAGCCACTATGGAAAGCAGTTTGGATTATCCTCAGAAAATTAAGGATAGATCTACCATATGATCCAGCTATCCCACTGCTGGGTATTTATCCAAAGAACTTGAAAACACAAAGGCATAAAGATACTTGCACCTCTATGTTCATTGCAGCATTATACACAATAGCCAAGACTTGGAAGCAACCTAGGTACCCATCAAGGGACGAATGGATAAAGAAGATATGGTATTTATACATGAAGGACTACTACTCAGCCATAAGAAATGACGAAATCCAGCCATTTGTGACAACATGGATGGACCTTGAGGGTATTATGCTGAGTGAAATAGGTCAGAGGGGGGAAGTCAAATACCATATGATCTCACTCATAAGTAGAAGATAAAAATGACAAAAAAAAAAAAAAACACATAGCATTGGAGATTGGACTGGTGGTTACCATTGGGGAAGGGGGGATGGGGGAGGGAAAAGGGGTGATTAGGGTCACATGTGAGGGGATGCACTATAGTTAGTGTTCGGGTGGTGAACATGATGTAATGTATCCAGAATTTGAAATATGATGTACATCCGAAAAAAATTACAATTAAAAAAATAAATAAATAAATTTGTACTGGGGACACCAACATAATTTTTTTAAAATATGTAATAAATCTTTGATAGCAGTTATCAAAACAAAAAGAACAACAAACTCAGCGGCCATGAGGCTTGTCCCTAACAGAATTTTCCGTTTGGTCAAGAACGCTAGGCATTTATTCTTGTATTTTCCCACAGTTTGCTCCTGGGATCAACTTTAATAGCTGCAACTTCGAGCGGCTGGTTTTAGTATTGACTGCAACCCTTTCAGTGGCTGCTGCATTGAAGATTATTTGCCACCCAATTTTTGTCTAGTTTTTCTCTTTCTTTAACTCCTGGTAATTTCTCTAATTCCAGCAGCTTTAACACTTAACTCCAGCACTGGAAGGTTTCGGGCAGTATTTAAGGGCTTGTTGAAAACTTTTCAGACAGATGGCATTAATTTATCTCTTTTATATCCTAATATAAAAGAGAGGAAAAGCAAATCAACATTGAGAGCCAGGGGCTCAGGGTGACAGACATAAGTTAGCCTGTTTCAATGACTGCAGTTTTTGCAAGGAGGATGTTTGCTTTCTGCTTTATACAACTTTCTATACTTATTCTGTACAGTTTGATTTTAAAATGCCCCTTCTGCCTCTTACTCCACATTTCCTCTCGGAAAATGTCCTTTCAACTGGGAAAATACTACTTTAGCAAATCACACGTTTAACAATTTCCTATTAAGTGATCCGGAAGGTGGGTCAAAATTGACTTTTCCCCTCTTCAACCTGGCCTGATGTTTTGTATCTCACTCTTAGGATAGATAGGCGTTTGTCTTTTTCACATTTTCAACTATAGCTGAATAGATTTGCCTTTAAACAGAACTCCTTAGAAATGTCTTATTTCATCTCAAGCTCAACATCAAAGTCAAAATTCCGTACTGTTTCTTCTAAACACTCTAAGCTCTCTAACCTCGTAAAGCCTGCCTGCTACTCTCCAGCTCAGGAAACTTAGTGTCCAGTGACCTATTCAGGGTGAAACAAAGAGGTCAGCTGGCCTCACCTTGTTCTCAACCCCATAAGTGGCTGAACTCACCCAGTTTCCCAGCTTCCAGCACCTTGAGCATCTCGTGTGGACCCCTCACTGTCAGTCAAGTGGGGAGGGAAAGCCCACCACAGAGAGAAGCAAATTTCTGAACCTAAGTACATGAACCATGCCAGTGGTGTGCTCCAAATTTATTTTGTTTTCCAAATCCATTACCTTTATTTCAGCAAACTCCGTTGGTCCCTGAATTTCTCATCTATATGTAAGTCCTAAAGTTTAGACTACTGATATGGAGCTCATATCTAATGCAATACTGCTCGTGTGAACTGCTTGGTAATTGGGGAACTTTTGATCATCTGCAACATAGGTAGAAATGGTTGCAGGGTTTTTGAAATCCATAGGTAAAAGCTAAAGGTTAAAATTAAACATGTAATATGACTCTTCCATCAAAAAACATTCTACCTGAGTTTCTAATAATTAGCAAATCTGATTCCAATATTTCTGTAGTGCCGACTATATATTAGAAGAGATTCAGATTACCTAGTTCTTCTTATTCTGGGTTTTTGTGGCCCTAGAGATGATAAAATTAGTGGAATCATCAAAAGAAAATACCAAAGTTTAGATAATGCACAAATTGACTTACTGTGGATTATGGATTGTCATAAAGGGTATCAAAAATGCTTTTCCAGAAGCCAGCCTTGTGGCATAGTGATTAAATTCATGCACTCCACTTCGGTGGCCAGAGTTCATGGGTTTGGATCCTGGGTGCAGACCTACACACTGCTCATCAAGCCATGCTGTGGTGGTGGCCCACATGCAAAATAGAGGAAGATGGCACAGATGTTAGCTCAAGGACAAACTTCATCACCAAAAAGAAGCAATACCATGATACAGGGAGACTTTTAATACGTCTTTGTGAACCAAAAAGGAATAAAAGTTATTTTAATCGTTCCTTAAGGATTTCCTTGCAATATTTGAAAGTTCTTTATTTTCACCTCTATGATATGTTATAAAACCATTATTGAATTTAGAAAATAAAATGGAATAAACCATTTGCAAACAGAATGCACTGCAGCTAGTGACAAGTACAGAGCTTGAACAGGTACTCTTGGCTTTCCCTTCTTCTGAGAGCCCTGAAAAGCATTTGAGAATTAAACATGCGGGCCTAGACTTTGTTATTGCAACCTTGGTAGTGATCTGTTTTTATGTTACAGGCAATGAAAGCTTAGAAGAAAACTATGTCCAGGACAGTAAGATGGGGTTTGTCATCAACGCCATCTACGCCATGGCGCATGGGCTGCAGAACATGCACCACGCCCTCTGCCCGGGCCATGTGGGCCTCTGCGATGCCATGAAGCCCATCGACGGCAGCAAACTCCTGGACTTCCTCATCAAGTCCACATTCATTGGTGTGTCTGGAGAGGAGGTGTGGTTTGATGAGAAAGGAGATGCTCCTGGAAGGTAAAGCAATCTTTTCCATAAGGACCCTGAATGACCTTGTGATCCTTCCTGAGCCAGCCAGATGGCAACTCTGGCCCCTTTGGTTCCATGGTTTCTGGGCGTCGTGGAGATAGGTACAACTAGATAGCTAAATGACCCGGCTTATATTAGATGGAAATTATTTTATAAAATGTTGAAAAACTTACTGGTAAACACCCACAATCCTGCATCCTGTCAGTGCCACCTCTACCCAGCTATCACCCTGGCCCTTCCCTCAGAATGGCTGGGACCACCCTGCAAGCCCAAGAACTAAAGAGATTGCTCTTGACCAGCAGGACCCTCACTGGCACTGCCAGCATCTTTCTGATTGATTGGTCCCAATTCCACACTGGTTGTGAAATATTTTAATATTACACTTGCTTAAAAAGCTTAATATGTGAAGAAAACCAAGTCCTTCACACATATCCGCTGTTCACAGGCTAATTTATATTCCTGCTAACATATCTCTTGAACAAGAAAGGGAAGAATTTTCTTTCTGGCATTTAGTCTCTATGGCTTCCAAAGAATTAGTCAAGAAGCAAAGGAAAATTAAACCTAACTAATGTGTATGTATATTTTTCCCCAAGTCATTTTACATACAGTCTGTTCTGCAATGCTTGTTTTTATAACACCATTTAGCTCCCATGTAGTTGGTACTAGAGAACGATGTCAGTATAAAGAGTAGCTGTGTTCATTCACATGAATTTTCCTAGGCAAGGGATAATCAGAGTGGTGGAATAAGAATTAAAACCTGAAACAGGAAAGAAAAAGGCCCTCGGCTTGGCTGCTGTACCGTGTGCCTGCAATCCTTTTTTTTTTGTTTTTTATAAGCCCTCTTATCTTTCAGTATATGATTTTGCAGAATGAGAGATTTTAGGAAAGCATATGTTGTGTTAACATGGAACGGCAAATCCTTTAATCCTCATTGCTATAGGCATGTCATTATCCTCTTTTGCAGATGATAAAACTGAGTATCAGAGAAACTAGAAACTCACCTCAAGTCACGCAGAGACTAACTAGTAGAGGCAGTGCCGTCTGAATCTGCGGCTTAGCTCTTTTGGCCACATCGTGCCGCCTTTTAGCTAATCCTAAAATTAGGCAAACTTATCGGCAACCTTCTTAACGTCATTTCAAAGGTATTTTAAGAGACTATTTGACCCTAAATAATTCACCACATATCTCTTCCTTTCATGTCAACTTAAATTTCTATGTGTAGAGAGTGCCCTTTGGGGCCTCACTGGATTCTCCTTGTTGAAATCCAATAGCTCTAGGAAGGATAAATGATACAAGTAATCGTCAGCAATGAAAACGATGAATTTACCAGATTCATTCCAAGCTGCCAGTTAGGTGGGAGCAGATTTAGACTGAAATGTGAGTGGGATGGATGGAATGATCCAGGGCCTGGGCAAGTGGAAAGCTTCTAGGTGCCCCCAACTTAGGAACTGGTACTGGGAAGAAGTGGGTGTGAGATTCAGAATACTGATTGCTCTCCCTTTTAAACCCCTGGTGTAATCCTGGGTTCCACTGGAGACTAGGCCCTGTAAAGGATCAGAGTTGGAAGGGAAACCTTCCTTCGTGATTCCATAAGATAATGTGCATAATGTGCCTAGCACATGGCCAGATGCATTTAGACGCTCCATAGATATGAGTTCCAGCCTGTTTTCTCTATTTCTGTTATCCAAAATATAAGCACACAATTTCAGCTTGTTTCTCCTCCATCTTTAATTGCAAATTTAAATCATGAGCTTCCCTCTGGGTCTCTTTTCGAGGACCATTTCCTCATGGTTGAAATTGGTCAGCTTAATCTGTGTTCAATTTCTGTTTCAACCACCTCCTTCTGCTTCCATCTCCGGTCACACCACCATTCATGTTTTTGATGCCTCTTATAATTATTTTAGTTAATCATCATGCAACATAAACCGAATGCATTGACAGGATGCTGTAAAGTTGTAAGTTATAGCATAAGGATATTCCAAAATAAATGCCAACCTGTCAAGAAAGGACTCTGAGGTCAAGAGAAAAGAGCAGTGTTCATTAACACACACAGCACACAGGAAGGCTTCTTCATAGTAAGTCAGTATTTTTCCCTTGGTATCTTTCAGTATTTTTTTTCCTATGGCTTTTGGGACTTTTAAAAAATGTGTTTTCATACTAAAATATTGTGAATTTTTTAGTTTCTAAATGCTAATGAAGTGTGAACTGATTTTTCCTATTGAAAAGCAAATGAGAAAGTTGAAATAAAAGTCTTAGGAAGCTGATTTTCAGGGAAAAGATATTCTAACGCAAGCATTACACATAAGCCTTCATGGAAAATGTATAAGGAGATTTAATAATGTAATACAGAGTAAAACATAAAAATTAAAAGAAATGAAAAAGGAAACCACTCATACTGAACAGCAGGTTCTATAATCATAACAAGTTTAGTATGGAAAAATATTAGAGGTATAAATTAGTGTCATTGACCAGCAGGATGAGTGTGGGCCATCAGCCCACAGTTAAGACCCATTGGACATCACTAGAGAGCTACACTGAAGAACATTCTGGCACGTTTTAGCAACAAGGAGAATAAGAACCCTCTTATTAGCCAAAAGTCAGAACAGCAAAGAGATGAAATACGCGCTCCAGGTGCACCGTTCTCGCTTCTCACTCTAAGTAAGTTTTGTTCTCCTGGAAAAGTAAGGGAAAAACTTGCTTTACTCTCTCAGAGTCCCTTTTCCCTTTATGAGACTGCTGTTTATAGAAATTGCCAGAATCTAGATTTGGAAAAGCCACTAGCTACCCTGTGGGTGACAGAATGCATTTGCACATTAAGAACAGGCAGAAAAGTCAATAAAGGACATTAGTTGTTTAGATAAAGAACTAGGCCAGATATAGCCAATGGGTTTCAGATGTCAACTGAGGTCGATTGGTCGCTTCCTGGAGGGCTGGGCTAAGGAGGATTCCGAGTCCGAATGAGGTTTGGAGAGAAAGAATTCCAGGATGCATTAGGTAGGGGCGTTGAGGGGAGGGGGAAGAGAGCTGAAGAAGGAGAGTAAGCATTAGTTCATTGCTATCTATTTCTTTGGGTGAAGCACAAAGAGCAAGAGACCATGCTTTTCATATTCTAGCGCAGGAGGGTGAGAACTCTGCGCAGGTACTGCAGAAAGGAAGGCCACTTTGCAGAGCCAGAAGGGAGAGTCAGACATATGTTTTTGGGAAACTGCCACATAAGTCATAGTTGAGTAAATAACAACATGGAGAGAAGACTGAAGAATGCCAGAGCGTTTTCAATGATTGAGAGATAAATGGCTATGCCAATACAAAGATGTTCTCCAGTTTTCCTATTGTAATGGAAATAACCAGAGTATTTTAGGGCACTCTTAGTAATATAAATATGAAGGATATAGTGATATTGCCTTACATATGCATTTGTCCCAATTGTGAAATAGTTTTTTACATGCTTTGTGTTCATAAATCCCCACAAGAACCCCACGAACCTTAAAGAGTTTAGTGACATTCCTAAGTAGTTTAATCTACTGTTAAAATGTTAGAAAAGAGATTCAAGCTTACACATTCTGATAAGTGCTGTTTTCTTTCCATCACATACAAGAAGGCTCTCCACTGCCCACACTGGGAAATGGTGAAGTCTGACCCCTCAGCACACTCTCGGACTGCAGCGAAGATTTCTAAACATAGATTTTCCTGTTGTGTAGCATTATGACATTTGAAATTACTGAGATAACTGACACCAATTATTTGAATTTGAAAATGTTTGTCCTAATCAGGGAAGAGACCAGTTTAAATGTCAAGATGTTAAATTCCCAACATCCTTGTTAATTAAAGATGCATTTCTCAGATTTCTTGCTCTATTAACACCTAACATAAGTTCTAAGGTTGGTAAAACTCACATCTTTTAATCCAGTGTAATGAAAATGACAAGTGAATGTGAAAAAGAAAAAAGTAGAATAAAAGTAATCAAGTTAAGAAATTAATGTTCTCAAGAATTGTTACTCTTTCAAAGAATAACTTAGTGAATAATGATTTGAAGGAGATGATGATCATCTCAGCACACATTGAATTTTTTTTTTGAGAACATGCAGAGAGAAAAGTACAAGAGTAATATATTCTTTAGCAAATATGGGTGATACCCAGAGACTGAAGAATGAAACATACATTTTGGAAAATCAGAGGAAACGTTAGAAATAAACTAAAATATTGACAGGAGCTGGCATTAGGATGCGAGATGCTTCTAGCTTTTATCTCCCTTGTCTCTATTATTATGTATTTGCCAGATTTCTTTGTTTTCTATATCATGCCCACATTCTCCAAGACACACATTGTTTTCTTTGTAGGTACGATATCATGAATCTGCAATACACTGAAGCTAACCGCTACGACTATGTACATGTCGGAACCTGGCATGAAGGGGTGTTGAACATCGATGATTACAAAATCCAAATGAACAAGAGCGGGATGGTCCGGTCTGTGTGCAGTGAGCCTTGCTTAAAGGGTCAGATTAAGGTAAGCCAGTGTCCACGAGGAGCCTCCTGCCTGGGGATAAGCAAAGCAAAACACACTTTTCTCAAACAAGATTGTCCAGAAAGGATGTGCCAGGCTAACAGTTTTTGTTCTTGTGCTTAGCTAAAACTGAAAAGATAAACAAAGATTAGGAAATGGAATAGGCAAGCTATTCGAATATTTAGAATAGTTTTTATTTGAATCGCAATGATGAGCTGGGATCTTAAACACAATGTAGAAAGCAAGGGGAATAATAATTGAATTAAAATTTGAAACAGAAGTAAACAGGGAGACCAAGACCAACGATACTGCTTAGTCATCGTTCTAGTGATTGTTAGAGAAAGCAGAAGCTGAACAATGCTAAATAAGAATATAACTGAAATAAAAGAAGTTGAAATGAGGTAAGACAGAAACGCTGCTTATCATTTCTCTTTTCTCCACTAGGTCTTTTGATTTTCCTGAAACTGGTATTTTTCAGCCAAGAGAGAGTCCCCACTTTCTAATTATTCTCAGAAGCTTTTTTGGGGTGGGGATTATGATATCGCTGATACATAAAGCTAGAGTAAATAAAAATCAAATATTGAGCATCTGGCTGGATAGAATTCTAGTGCTAGGGAGAATTCTCAGAGAAGGAGTGGAAACAGCACTCTCCGTGTCCCATGCTATTTAAAACCTCACTGGATGTGGCACTAGGAAATGGAGCATTGGGGAGTGACTGTGAACTGGCAAGCGTGTGGATTAAATGACCTTCTAGGCCTTTCCCATCTCTAATTTTCTGTGATTCATCTCTGGGAGCAGACAGGCTGTCACGTAAATGTCCCCCAGCACAGCCCTCTTGCCATGCTGCCTTCTGCTCTGCCGTTCTCAGGATCTGAGGAACCAGCCATGCAGGGGAGATGCCCTGAAACATACACTTAGGGGTCCTTAGGGCAAGAGTCTAGTCCTGTGTGGAAGTGCTGGTGCAGAAGCTGGAAAAGCCTTATCTCCATTGATCAGGGAAGGTCGGTGATCTGGAACCGGCGTCATCTTTTGGCAGCTGAGAAGAGCTGTCTGGGTGGACTCAAGCTCTCAGTAATTCCAGTCACTTTGGGTAAGAAACAAATTTCTCAGGCAACTCACCCTAGTTTTAAATATCTTGTGCCTTCTCTGCAGATGTGATATTAAAAATATTTAATAATTGTCATGACAACTAACCAATCAGGATGCACTCCATTGCAGTGTTATGACAGGATGCTGGAGCCCCCTGCCATGTCCACAGTTAATCCTTGAGTTGTTGGATCAGGGGAAGACTGGTGAGGAATCCTACATGGATAGGGCACTGTGAGGCCATGGGGAGGCTTGGAGACACCATTCGTTTCCACTCAGTGTGGAAGAATTTCAGTAGCATAAGAATGGCTCCAGCCAAACCAGTGTGTGTAGGCTGTATGTCGGCATTGCTTCTCTCCAAGAATCCATTGCAGATTCTTGTCCAGATGGAATTCTTTCACATGAGGCTGTCTCATGGTATGTAGGAATATATCCTCGGAAACTGAGAGGCCGAAAACTCCTCCCTCACTGTTGCCAAGAGATGCCAGACCACTGGGTTCTGTCTTTGTCATATTTTCTGGATGGTGGGGAAAACCAGGACATCTGAGATCTGAAGTCATATGATAGAGACAGTCCAGAAGCCCTGGGCTCATGCACTTCTGTGACTCAAATGGTTTCACAAGTTCAGCTCAGGCCTCCTTTCCAGTGTGGGTGGTAGCATAGAGTCTATAGTGCAGACAACTGCTGAAACAATGTATGGAACTACAAAGCTGGGTTTTTCAGAGTACCAAAAAAAAGAAAACAAGCCTGGCAAGAGAAAACAGATCGTTTCAAAGATTCACTGCATTCCAGCTCTCTTTCACAATTCCCTTCTGTTTTTCTGATTGCTGGCAGGCCATGAATGGAGGCTGACATACCATGTGTATTTCCATTTGTACATTCCAGAAGAAAGGCCTGCCCCCTCCAACAAGTCAGAAGAAAGGCTGCTGCATACATCTCTATGCCTTGATACTGAAGTATTTCTGGCATCACGTTGCATTACACCCGTGCAGTGTTACCAAAAGAGATCACAGAAATCATTGCTGAGCCATTACACAGCACTCAGCATAAATGCAAATCTCTTGGGGTCCACTTTTAGAAGTATCGTGTACCCTGCAGGAGAAAAATATGCCTGTTCTCAATAGCACCTGGAGTGGAGGTGCGGGGGGATGTTTGTTTGTTTCCCATAAGTACCATATGAGGTACAGAAACAAATGAAATCTGAATCTCATTTACCAAATAATAGCACTTATGTTCTCACACCACCAATTTGCCACCTACCAGGCCCAGGATGCAGAGAGTCAGATCTCTGGGTAGCCACTGCAAAGATGGGAAGGAGGCAGCCTACAAGATGATTGTAGCCTTTCTTTTGTATTTGCTGGGAAACATGACCTTTAGGAAAGGATTATTCATTTTAAATATCAAATGCCATCTGAAATGCTAAAATAATCTTTTGACTTCTTTTATGATAACCCATAGCACTTTCTTATGGTAATTTCCTTTGAAGTAGTTAAAAGTCCAGTTTTCCTATGCTATTGATTTTAGAAATATAACTATCTTATAAATGTAGTATCTTAGGGGGCATAAATTGATTTTAATCATACTGAGAACAAAGGTAAATAAAATCAAACTTTTATTTTTGTGTGTTATGTTAGTCAGGGTTAAGCCAGGAAAAAAAGAACCCATGCCAGGTGGTTTGAGAGAGGGAATTTAATATAAGAAATTGGTTATAAAAGTAAGAGGGCACCAAGGCAACTCAGAGATGAGCAACAGCAGGAATCAGTCCCACCCCGGGCTAGAGGGACACAAGGAGAAGTCACAGCTACTACCTGAGATGCCCCCTAAAGTGACTTCTCCTTTCCCCTTCTTCAGTCTCCCTTTGGGTCCTTCCATTTTGCTGACCCCATCCAGAAGACATTGGCAAAAAAGCAATGTAGTTTGCAGGTACTTAGCTCAGGTTCCTCTGAAACCTTAAAGCTAAGCAAGGCTTAAGTGCTTGCATTATCGGGAGATACCATCCCAGAGAAGCAGGAGTGAAGGCAAAGGGAAGGGAGATATGGGGCTTGGAAAAACACCCCCACCGTGGCGATGCGTCATTGAGCAGGAGACTGCTTCACTGAGCACAGCCTCACAGAGATTTCTGGACAGATCTATCAGACTATTTAAACCTATGCCGTGCTATTTTCTGCTTCCTGTAGTCAAAGTTTGCTCACAGGAAGTAACATCACCTGACCCTTTTAGGCAGCTGCTCGGGAAGCCACAGTCCATGTCCCATTACGTGACCCTTCTTCAGATTTACAAACAGTGAGGGGAACAAAAAAGTCTCTGGATCCCATGCAGTCTGATCTGGGCTCCTGCTGTGCGGGGTACGGTGGAAGCAGTTCTGGAACGCAGTGCCTACTCCACGGGAGACAGACAGCTGGAGATGCCAGAAGATGAAGCAACAGTGATAGGATGAGGCAGGGGTTCCAGAACTCTCCAAGGGCCAGTGGCCAAGGGCCTAAAAGAGAGGTTAGGTAAAGAGAATCTGAGGCAGCACATAAAATGTAGACAAGGGATCTGTAAGCAGACACAAGGACCTGGCACGTGGTGCGTTGGTCTCCCACACCAAGCCTGCTGCCATTTTCAGTGGTGTGGTGAGGGGCAGGAAAGAGGTGAGAAGGGCTGGGGAGGTGAAGGAGGGGAAAGTGAAAGGAAGGAGAAGGGAGGCACTAGAGATCAGGGACTAACATTTATCAGGCATATTCTTGTACAAGTATAATAATAGATGCTTAACCGACATCATTTTAACTAATTCCTTGAAACAACTCTTTTAAAGCAGATACTATTGTCCCCATTTCATAGATGAGGAACCTGAGGCCCAGAGGAGTTGAGTCACTTGCCCCAAGCTTTCTCAGCTAGAAAGTGCCAAAGCTGGGCTTGGAGCCAACCCAAGGCTCTTATCATCCCACAGCCACATGTTGTTCAACTACCATTCATTATATGAACTGACATGTTTTCTACAAATGCAAATTTCAGTTGCCAGGCCTTATTTTCTCAATAGTCCACAAAAAGATTATAAATAGAAATCCACTTTAAAATGCCAAGGGAACAGATCTGGAGTTAAGGAAGCAGTATTTGTGAAGGAGGGTGAGAGAGTTGGATAGAGACAAGAAACCGGCAAAGAAGTCGAGGAAAGAATCCTGTGGATTGCGTTGCTGGCCTTTAGTCTTTCTTTTCCCCCCTTTTCTCTTTTCTATTTTTTTCTTCCCTTAAGTTCATCTTTGGATTTTTTTACTCCAAGATGATAGTTTTGGGGCTGGGAGGTCGGGCATGGAGCATGGAGAAGATCACTAATTCCTTCTATTCTCCCCCGACCAGTCAAGACATAATTCTGGAGAAATTAGGTGAACATGGACTATATCATAAAGTTTCCTCATTTACATGTGCAATATTGTCATATAGTAAAATACACCCTATATATGTATAGAAAAGCCCAGTTATATATGTATCATACCAACTATGGACTTTGGCATTGGGTTAACTAATTTCCATTCATGAGGTAAGACTGATTTCATTCTAGTTGCTGGCGTCTTCTATTGGAAAGATGAAGGTTCAGTTTCAAAAGGCATTAGAAGTGTGGACCTCAGAAACTTGCTTAACTTAAACTGCCAGACAGCCCCTTGTGCAGCTTCAGCTTCTTATATCGCTCTGAGTTTTCCCTCCCATTGGGTGAGCAAAGAGGCCAAACAACAGATTTGTTGATTGTCAAAGTCAAAGGGACATCATCATTTCACTATGATCTAACATATCTCCAAAGATGGAAGGAAGCTAAGAAAATCTGTTTTAAAAGATCATTTACATTGGCCTGTAATTGGAACTTGAAGTGTCCCTAGATTTAACAATGCCGTAAGAATTATTAGGTAGCGCTGCTAGGGGAGTTTGTCTCTGCTTTTTTT